TTTTTTTTTTTTAAAACTTCAAAAGGAATTGCAGCATATCGTAATATTCCTGGCACATCTGGGCTTTTTTTATAGCATTATGGCTTTCAGCATCCGTAAATCACTAAAACTCACTCTTTTGCTTTCAATGTGCATTTTGCAACTGATTGTCTTTGAGCTGAGTGGAAATGTTAAACACATTTATTAAAATGCCTCTAACTATGAGTTTCAGCTTTTTGTCCAGGCTGGCGCGTTGGTTTTTTAGCTGTTTCGGCCATTGTGTGTGTACGAGTCTTTCGGTTTCATTTAATGAGGTTTTTTTCTTTTAAAACTTTAACCCTTTATGAAACTTTGAAGTGGAGGCTTTTTTGGAAAGGGAAAATGCTTGATCAGTGCAGGACACAAAAGGAATAATGTGCGAGGAATTCATATGAATAATGATGTAATCTGTGTGCAGTACAAAGGAGATTGTTCTTCTTGTTTTGCTTTGTTACTTCTGTTTCACATTGCCCTCTCGAAGGAAATGTCTCATCTAATTAGGAATGCACAATTCTGAGACTTTCAACTTATCTGTTTCCTGTTTTGTGATTGCTGCCAGGAGGGGATACAATATATACAGTGCTATAAAAAAGGCTCACCAACTGCAAGAAGCTAGCTGAAATTTAATCTCTTCTGGATTGTTCTTTTTAGTTAAACATCTTAAGCTAATTAATCAAATTTTATGTGTTCTCTAAATGCATGACCGTTTTGCTGGAATGGAAATGGAAAAATAGGAATAAAGAGCTCACCTGGGTAATTCTGTAACCCTGCAAAAATGCTTCTGTGGCACACAGTGTGTGCTGCTGCTGGGGCGTTGCTATGCTTGTGTACACGTGCATGCACGCATGCTCCCACAGCACTCCTGCCTAAATTTATTAGTGCCTTCAGCCAAGAGTAGTTGGCGTGGCTGAGATTGTAGATTAGAGCCTGTTCCGCTTTCTGTTGGGTCGATGTTTCACTTGCTGTACTTTGAGGGCAACAGTTGCTCTTATCTGCACCTTCCCCCATTTCCTATATGAGCTGAAGCTGAACTCTCCCATGGCTCCGGGAGAAATAATGTTGTGTTGCGGTGCCACAGGGTCATAGCCCAACCGCTTGAAGCGGATGGTGCCTGGGAGAACACAGGATCGCACATGTGTGTCTTGAGAGCAGCGC